GCCTCGTTTCGCTTCGACGGCTTTCAGCCTCACCCTGCTTCATTCTACTACGTTAATAAATCATTAGCTCATCCATGAACATGATTTCTGCCCGAGTACCATCGGATTGCATCGGCTGTGGGGATGAAGACCACAACTCCCATGATTCCACACTCAGTCACGGTGTCATCAAACTAGGCCTTTGTCTCTTTGTTTATTTTGAATACGCGCCCTCTAGTGGCAAAAAATTACATATTGTGCCTTTAATCTGGAAATTGGTATGATGAAATAAAGATTAATTTGATAGTTTTTTTTTTAATTGGAACTAGATGCAAACAAAAAGATTATTACTACTGCATCTAATATATGTATATATATTTTAAGTCTGTGATTTTGTTTTGTGGTTTTTAGCTGTTTTTTTCACTTTATACACACCATTTCATACAGAAACTAGTATAAGAACATACATCAGATGGTTAAAAGCGTAACTGTTATCATACCGTGAAGGGAAGTCGGTCATGAAGAGCTCGGGCACCAGCTCCTGTAGCGGGACGGGCTGTTTGGGGTGGTTGGGGCAGGTGATGTGCTCCTTGTCCACGGCTGCCAGCACGCAGTCCTCCATGTTGAAGTAGTGGACGGTGCTGTGGCTGGAGCTGGACAGAGGCAGTGGGTCGGACAGCCGGGGTCCAGAGCTGCAGTACGGACAGGGCGCATACTGCTCAATGAGACGAGAGCCGTCGCTCTCACTGCCCGTCAGGGCTGGACCGGGAGAGAGCAGCATGTGCATGTTAATCATAAACGTCTGTACACGGATGTTCATCTTTATATAAAAAGACATTAATCAAGGCTTAATGAAAATGGCGAAAATGTCAAAAGATTTAAAAACTGAACTGAATCCACTTTTTCTACAATAGCTGTTCGGCTGAAATGATGGTTCCTCTAAATAGAATAGAATAGAATAGAATACATATAGACAGACAAATACATGAAGACACACAGTGTTGCCAAAAGGCTGAAAAATAAACAACAATAAAAAAAGCCCTTTCTGAGCAAATAGATAAATACTGAGCTGTATATTCAGTGTTGTCAAAAAGCTGAAAAAATAAATATAATAATAAAAATGATAATAAAAATGATAAATAAATCACTAATTTAAGTCATTTCTGCGCAAATGAATAACTAAGATGTATATCGAGTGCTGAAAAATAATATAAATAATATAATATATATAATAACAATAAACAATTAAAAACAAATAAATATACACAAATCACCCTTTTAAGCCACTCCTTAACAAATACATACATATCGAACTGTATATTCAGTGTTGTCAAATAAAAAAAAAATGTATAATAATAATAATTAATAATACATACATAAATAAATACATCACCAATTTAAGTTATTTCTGAGCAAATTGATAACCAAGATGTATATTGAGTGCTGAAAAATAAAATAAAGCTATAATAATAAACAATTAAAAACAAATAAATAAACACACAAATCACCCTTTTAGGCCATTCCTGAGCAAATACATAAATATCGAGCTGTATATTGTGTTGTCAAAAAGGCTGAAAAATAAATAAATCTATAATAATAATAAACAATTAAAAATAAATAAGTAAATAGATAAATAAACCACCTTTTTAAATAATTTCAAGTATAATATTAGGAACATTAAATCATCTTGGAGATAGTTTCATCGTCTGTCGTAACCGAATGCGATGCGCAGTTCGAACACTGAATGGAGGATGACAGACAGCCGCAGTGGAGAGATAAGTTTACGTGAACTTGACTTAAATATTCATCTGTACCTCACATTAAACTGTGCAGCGGCTTCAGAACACTTGGAGTATAGTGCATGAAAATTTTATGGTGCTTTACGATGTTTTTGTGGCTTTCATGGGGCTTAACAATAACACAGAATAGTGTATGCACAATATTGGATTTGGATCGGTCTCGTCTGACCGATACCCCAGAAAATGCCAGTATCGGAGCCGATACCGATAATCGGATCGGCGCACCCCTAGTTCAGTGTTGTCAAAAGGCTGAAAAATCTCATGATTAGAACACGCATACAATCAGCATCACATGCATGTGTTAATAATCTCACAAAGCAGTGAGTTTGTTTACCCACAAACATTTGAGCTGAGTGTCACATGTGTAACGGCTGAATGGAGCAGGCGTGTGCTGATGCGTCTGCTGTAATTAACAGGCTTTATGAGGACTAATGAATCAATCAGTGCTGCTGTATAAACTACAGTCTGACTCATGAGGCCATCTATAGAGTTCAGCGTGTGTTTGTGCTGCACCTGTGTTGCTGACTGACAGCATGTTAATACTGGGAAGCGGCTCTGCACTGACACACAGCAAACTCCCACAGTGCAACATTAACGCCGCACAGAAACAAACAGCTGCATGTCCACATTAATACCCTACGGTGACGGTTTGTCAAGATATTATCACTTTGACACCCTCTTTATGACACGATTTTAATAATTTTGTTTTCTGTTGGACCTCCAGCTTATGACTACAAGTGTTATTTTAGTAGCATTGACATATTATTGTAGTTTTTTTTAATCTTTTTTTTTTTTTGTATATATATATATATATATATATATCTCAGTCTGGCGAGTAAACTAAAAAATTTACTAGCCAATGGCGATTCAATTGCCAAGGTGTTCGTAGAGGGCTGATAAGCTTATATAACTGAACTGAATAAGTTGATTTTGAAGAACATGCATTGCAAAAGTTAGCTCTCACCACTCCAGTCATTCATAAGCACCATGCCAAAGATGTGCTCGTGAGCCTTCTCCACTGGTTTATTCAGCTTTCAGATGATGTATAAATCTCAATTTTGAAAAATTGACACTTAAGACTGGTTTTGTGGTCCAGGGTCACATATATGTATATACATACATATATATATATATACATATATAGACACAGACACACAACTATAAAACAAATAGTTAAGGCTCTAAATTCCCCATTTGAAGATGTCTAAATGCCAAAAAAAAATTAATAAATGTGATGCACATTCTGTATTAATGTTGCAAGTTGCAATGTAAATAGCCCAAAGCTATGCATGGAAGAATACTCACACTCAAGAATACTATACATGGAAGAATTATTATTAATAAAAGTAATCTCTGTCTGTGTTATATCCTATTGCTGCTGCTGCCATTTTATACATTTATGCATTTTGCAGGTGCTTTGCTCCAAAGTAACTTGCACTGCATTGAAGGTAAATGTTTGATCAGTTCATGCATTCACTGGGAACGTCTGCATTACACCCACAAATCCAAGCTACTGTACAGACCTGTGCACGAGATTTAATACATCAGAGATCTGTAGTGATTCAGAATAATATCTAGAGGCGTACTCACCAGGAAACCACTGCTCTATGAGAGCATTAACGTGATCCGTGATGAAAGCCATCGCTGAGAAATCCCTCGTCTCCGACTGGCAGATAATCTTGATACCTCCGCTTTTCTTTTTCTTCCAGTTCAGGTCAGACGACTCGACGCTGTGGACGAGAAACAGTGTCCGTTTTTTCTTGTAAGTGTTGCTATTATAGTTTTTAGTAATATTTGAATTCATTTTATTTTTACATTTTCAGTTTTCATTTTAATTTTAGTAATTTTGTTAAGTGCTTTTTTAATCTATTCAGTTATTTTTACTTATTTTTAAATGGGTTATTATTATTATTATTATTATTATTATTATTATTAACCATAAATTCATTCATTTGTTTGTTTATTTTTCAGCCTTTTGACAAGACTCAATATAAATATTTATGTATTTTCTCAGAAAATGGCATACAATAGTAATTAATTTATATTTATAAATTATTACTGTTCCTCATCAATTATTATTGTTCATTATTATTTCTTATTAATTGTTTATTTAGTAATAATTTTTTATTATTGTTGTTGTTGAAAACTGATCGCCAAATGAACCAAATTATTTCTGTGACTTTTGGTGCTGCTAATGGTTCAAAGAAGATTGATCTATTATCACAAATAACAGTAAGACGACAAATTGTCTACACACCTAAGGCATAAGATAACTCGTTTTCTTATAAACAAACAACTTATAAACACATTTTTAAAACACATGTACCTTTTGCAGAGGAGGCAATCCCATAATGCTTTGCAGCAAACTCTATGCAAACACGCAGCAAAACATATGTCCAAATGCTGGATACAGTTATATTATTTATATACTATTACTCTATTTTTTTATATTTTTAATTAGCTTTTATTTTTTTTAGTTTTCATCTTAATTTAAGTTTAAGTATTAGTAAATATGTTGTGCTTTTGTAATTTTTATTACTTCTTTATATTTATGTTTTGTTTATATTTAACTTTATTTTTATTTCAGTTTTACAAAATTTTACTGTACTACTTTTATTACTTTATTTCAGCTAACTGTCAAAGCAACATCTCTATTTTTCATTTAAATAGAAGTTTTTCATCTAATATTTTTTATATAAAAATAACAAAAACACAGTTTTAGCTAACACTAACAACACTGGGTGAAACCCTCTGGGCCTCTTCGGCCATTTTTGACCGAAAAATTTTATATTTTGAAATTGTAAAAATCAGAATGAGATGACACTTGGTGACTTTTGTTGCATTAACTATGTGAACACACAAAAAAAATCATGGAAATGATTCGGATATGTTAAAGGGTCAAAAAAAAAAAAAGTCACACTTGACTTCTTCGGGGTCAAAAATGACCAATAAAGTAGTCTTTTTGAATGTCTAAATATATATCTAAAAGCAAAAAATAAAATAAAATGAAGAAAGTATGTCTAAAAAACAATGGGAATCCATTTATAGAAAAATAATAATTTAATAATTAAATAAAAATATATGAATTCTTGTGGGGAATATCTTGCATAATATCTTAAAATCCCCTCAAAATTCTAAATAATAATCAAAAAAATATTATTGAACAAAAATGTATTAAATTGATTTTCTTGAAAAAAAAAACAAGTTACATTTCAAAGCTTCGGTCACTTTTGACCGCGAAGGAGTCAAGTGTGACTCCCAAACGAAGAGGACCAGAGGGTTAGGAAGTAAGAGAAATGTTGCTAAATATATTTATTCATTAAATACCAACATTTCTCAAAAATAAAAACAAACCCTTTCTAACCTCAGATATCCGCCGTCAAAGGTGACTAGCAGCCCTTCTTTCCAGTAGATGGTCTGACTGCGCCGGACGCGGAAGGTGCTGCACCGATTGCGCTGCTGGTTCCCCGCAAAGCTGTAGATCACCGTACTGCGGCTCCTCTGGTTCTTTGTGGGCTTTTTGGTCTCAAATGCCTATTACGAAAAATCACAAAGACAGTCATCAGAATCAGTCGACTGAAACGAGCCAGAAATATGAACATCGATCGGCTTCAACGACACTTTCACCCGAGAACTTGTCATGTAAGGAATAAATAAAAATACAGCTGCAAGTAGCAGCTACATGGCCAAACTCTAATGGGATACTGAATGATTGAGCAGATTTGTCTGGTTTATAACTTTTGACCAGTAGGTGGCACTAGAAATGTGCACGATGTTCTCAGGGCAATGTGGCGTTGATACAAAGAAAAACTGCGTGTCAATACGCAAAAGCTTTGCCAAGGTAATGACTCACTTCCTGTTTGGTGTCTTCGCCAGCAAAACTGTTAAGGCTTTTCTGGAGAATAAAATCCAGTAATTGTATTTGTGTGGTTTTGTCTTTGTCTGTGTCTGACCTGAACCAATTTTGGTGAAGATTCAACCAACACTGAAAGAGGAAAAGCGAAACAAACAAAACCATATGCAAAACTGGTCCAAAATAGCACAAAGTGGGACCTCAGAAATACATGAAGTTTTTGCGACAAACTTTTGCACTCTGGCCAATAGGTGGCGCTGTCACCAAAACTGGGCTTGTACAATGATTAGGGCTGCAACAACTAATCGATAAAATCGATTATCGATAATGAAAATCATTGACAACGATTCTCATTATCGATTAGTTGGGTCTGCCCACAGTGCACGTCCAACTTCAGCTGGTCGCGTCAAATTACAGCACTGAATTACGCATTTCTAAGGACAAAATACATCTAAAAATAGTGGAGGAAACAGAATGAGATGCTGCAGGAGAGTTACGTGATCCAAGCTGCCCAAAACATGAGAATTCTTTATTTTAAGCTTTAAGCTAATGCATTAGCGTAATGGCTTGCCCTGTCAGGCGCTTTAACAGATGCGTGTGCGTCCTCAGCGCAAAAAAACTTTCAGTTAACGGTCATATCCTTATGTATAAATGTCACAAATTCACGCGAGCCTTTCCTTTTTTGCATAAACGTCCGTCCTGACAGTCTGTGTTAAGTTTTAATCTTTACGTGCACGCACGTCAGACAAACGGAAAACAGAGACAATTAATAATCAGCGCAAAAACATTCATTGTGCTGAAATATCTGTTGTTGAAAATTAAATCGAGGTTTAAAGATCAACATGCATTGCGAGTATTTTATGAGAGTAGCAACTGTAAGGGGATAACAGCGTGTAATTGTCAGAATATAAATATCAGACTCTTCATAACCTCCTTTAACAGGATAAAGAAATGACAGTAAGACGGTCAAAGTGAACGTGTGTTCCTGCAGAGCATTACTCTTACCTATTGGTTACAACTGATTTTGTGATTTTATTCGTCTTTATTATATTTATTATAATTTTAATTTTTAATGCAGAGTTTTAAACTATATTCACCATATACAATGCTTAAATTTATTTAAAAAAATTATGTAAGGTTTTTAACAAATTATGGTTTGTGCCACTGCTGCTCTAAACTAACAGTACTGGTGATTACCAAAATCATTTTTTAGCTTTCTGTATTGGTTAGTCCTCCAATGTGTAAGCTCTTTAGTAACAGGCTGTTTCTAATACTATAACATAGGCCTAATTATTGCTGTTATCTATGAAAGAAAGGCAGAGAGCTTTATTACAAAAACAGCATTCTTCCATCTTAGAAACATTGCCAAGTTACGAAATATGTTACCTGTTTCTGATGCAGAAAAGCTAGTTCATGCATTCATGACCTCTAGACTGGACTATTGTAATGCACTGCTAGCTGGTTGTCCTGCATCTTCAATAAACAAGCTACAGGTAGTCCAAAATGCAGCAGCTAGAGTCCTTACCAGGTCAAGAAAATATGATAATATTACCCCAATTTTACAGTCTCTCGGTTATTCTGTTTATGTGCCTACAACCTATAGAACACCACCTCTCTGAATTCTGGGACATTTAACTGTCAACAAATGTATGTGATTTAATTTGGTCAGGCTGTAATGCTGTAGAGAGGCTGCTGTCTCTCTGTAATGAATCCATCGTCCATCCTGACACACACACAGGCACTTACACACAAACACACACACACACAGAGTCCCGGATGGGTGAAATAGCCTTGTATCAATCAAGTACATTGATTTTCTTCTCTTTTGGAGAGGAAGGGGCTTTAATACCGCAAGTGCTCTCAAACGGAAGCTTGAAATAACTCTTTCTCTCGCCTTTGATGGTGTTGATGATCGAATCAGGTGGCTACTGTATACTACTTTGATCAGGACGCTATCTGTGTGTGTGTGTTTGTGTGTGTGTGTGAATCTTGCTTGTCGAAAGTTGGTTACAGTCCCCCTCAAAAATCACTTTTCATAAATAAAGGTAAATGCAATCAGGCCCAAGTCTCGCACATTCACAGAAAACGTCTTACTTCTGTGTTGAAAAATAAGGTGGCTATTATAAAAGAATATATTACACAAATGAATATAATTATATATTTTTTTTAAAAGGAAAATTAAGATGTTCTTCTCTTATTTCATTTATGAATAATGAAAATATGGTGGAAAATATGTCAGATAAGCGTAAAAATATTGACATGGGAAAAAAATAAAATCTAATGAAAATAATATAAAATAATATAATATTAAGTAGTATTTTTTTCATAAGGCAAATAAAGATGTTTTTGCACAGTTAAACATATTTTCCACTATATTCGATTATCAAAATAATCATTAGTTGCAGCCCTAACAATGATTCATAGCCAGTTTCATTTCAACAGCCAAAGCTGCAAAGATACCATCTCACTTCCTGTAAGGCATCCTGTCGTTGAATTCATTGATGGATTAATATAATATAATATAATATAATATATAACAGTCATACTAAATATCACAAAATGTTGATTTTTATTTATAATATAATATAACATAATATAATAAACAGTCATACTTAATATCACAAAAATATGTTGATTTTTATTTATAATATAATATAATTTTTATAGTCATACTATTATGACTATTATTTTATACTTGTATTATATCATTAATATTATTTATTGAAAAATAAAAAATATGTTGTATAATAAAATATAGTATAACACAATACAATATAATGATTAGTCATATTGTCATAATTATATGTCATAACATTTTGTTTAATATTTATCACCATTTACAAAAATAATTATAATAATTTAATATAATATAGAATTTTTATAGTCGTACTATAAAACCTTGTTGTTATAATTTTTTTTCTTAAATACAAAAAAATAATACTTATTTTGTTAAATAACCAAACAAACAAACAAATAAATAAGATCAGAAAAATGGCTGTAAGGTTTTCCCCAAACAGCCCTATGCATTACAAAATTTTGCCAAAGTTTTTGTACAGGGCTATTTGGGGGAAATTAGATTGCAAAAGCTTGCAAAGCGTCTTACCATGCGGTTTCACGGCTGCTGTAGACTCCCAGCCTGAAGCATTGTCAGCGTGTGGCCTCTAATTCTACGCTTGCAATAACTGCAATTCTGACTTTATTGCTCTGTTAGGTTGTCATCTCAGGGTGTGTGTTTACCTGCACGTCCATCTGGTTTAAACTGATTAGCATCCTGGCTATAAAACGCTCCCAGAATCCCGCAGGAACGAAGCTCATCTTGAAATGCCGCTGGATGGCATTGTTGCTCTGGTGCCGAAAGCCGTGGATGTCCAGGGCAGGTTTGGGGGGCAAAAGGTGGGGCAACAGATAACTATGAAGAGAAGAAAGAACTAATGAGGGAAAATCAGGTATGAAACACTGCACGCTTGACAAGCATTCCATACGATAACTCGTAATATATGCAATGCATCCAAACAGGCAGGTGGTTCCCATAGGGCGTAAAAGTTCATGAATCAGTGCCATTAAAATTTTTTTTAAATTGCCATTTTTAATGTGCATTTTTAAAAACCTGACATAGAAAAAAGTTCGGAAATTTAAAATATATTTTCTGATATTAGAAAATATTGATATTAGCCATTGACACTGACATTTATGCATTTGGCGGACGCTTTTATCCATAGCGACTTACACTGCATTCAAGGTACACACTTACATTTGATCAATTAATGATAAAATAATCTACTAATAAATACAATAAAAATAATTACATTAATTTAATACACAAATTAAATAAAATGCAATACTGATACATATTAAAATACATATTAAAGTTAAGATGTATGGAGGACCAAACCTGCAGAAATTTAAAATAAATAAATAAATAAATAAATAAATGTGTGTATAAATACACAAATTCTTGTTTAAATACATATAGAAATAAATAAACATGTGATAAAAGTAGGAAAATAAATAAAAAAAAGTTGGGCAAATGGGAAATGTTTAAGGAAATAAATATGTGTATAAATACACAAATTCTTGTTTAAATACATATAGAAATAAATAAACATGTGATGAAAGTAGGCAAATAAATAAAATAAATTGGTGGGCAAATGGAAAATGTTTAAGGAAATGCTAAACTATTTTCCTTTGATCACTCATTTATTTCTGAATGTAGTTCCACATTTATTTTTCCTCTGCGCAACATGCTAATGAGAGGGTGTCAACCATGGACTTGTCATAGCTGGGGGCAAGGCATGGTGAAAACAATCCTTTCCCTCTGACAGGAAATGCATGGTGTAAATCCAGTATAGCCTAGTAAAGTCACTTTTGCCGTTCAACAGAGCAAGATACATAAAAAACTGAGCTGTATTGTCCGTACAGTATCTGTGACTTTACAAATGACCCAACGAAATGGCCAGGTGTCATTTCCTGACGTAATTTTTTGTAACCCGATTGAGTCTCCAGCTAGAGACAACTGTAATATCAGTATCCCATGGTCAGAAATATACTGACGTTACAAAGAACAGAAAGCCGTAGTTTTTACCTGCTGCTGGCGACTGGTAGAGCGATCTCGAACTTGGCCAGGAACTGGAAGTACTGTTCTTCTGTTTGCTGGGTGAAGCCGGTGCCCACCAGCAGCATGCGCAGGTCCTCGGCCTTGATGACCCCGTTACGGGCGACCGAGCGCGAGCCCCTCAGGTTGATGATGCGCTCCAAACACTCGGACAGCCACACGGCATCCAGGAAGTAGAGCTTACACAGGCCATGACTGGTGTCGGAGAAATGCAGTATAGTGCCGGTCTCGATGAGGAAACTGATCGCTGTGTGATTCACAAACAAACAGCTCATCCCACTGAATCCTGTTCCACTTGGAAATACATCTGATTACAGCCACTTTAATGTGAGGAACTGTGAATGAAATAGACTAGAGATGCACAGATATAGAAAATTATCAATGATTACATAACTAAAGTAATGGGTGATTTAAAAAAACAACAACAACTGTATTTAAAGACTGAACCTGCGTCCCAAATGACGCCCTATACACTATACACTTATACACTATGTACTTATGCACTATGTACTCAACCATGTAGAGTATGAATTTTATAAGGTTATTTTGTCATTAATAATCGGAGTCTGATAGCCCCTCCCCCTTCTGTACGTAATTAAAGCTGCGACAGTTGAGTGCATGAAGTGTCCAACATTCCACACTTAATTTTTTCGGTTATTTAATGGCATCATCCGGGTATTTAAAGTGCACTTTTTCTTTTTGGAATTTTCAGTGTGAACGCACTACTCGCACTATTTATACTACAAAACGTCATAGAATAGTGTATTAGTGCGCGATTTGGGACGCACCTCTAGATTTCTACTTGCTTTGAATTTTATAAATGACATTAGATATTAAAACATTATAATGTACAGTATATGTTTATAAAAATATATTTAAAAATCTTTAAATTTGAATAAGACAAAATATTAGCTTTTCTCTTTTAGCCTAATGGGGTCAATACAATACAAAAATCATTAAATTTTTTCAAGTAATTAAGTAAATAATTAAATTAATTAATTTAATAATAATAATTTAAAAATAAAATAAAATTCAATACTTCATATATATATATATATATATATATATACACATACATACATACATACATACATATAACACACACATATATATAACCCTATTAAACAAACAAAAAACAAATAAATAAATAACTCAATATAGTTTAAAATAAATATTAAAGTTAAGAACAAAAATAAAAATGTATCTTAAAAATGTGTATTAGTAAAACATATTATGAATATATATTAAAACATTTATTATGGTTGGTATTATTTTCATAATAGGTTATGCACACCCTGTCTGCAAACCCTATTAAACAAACAAACAAACAAATAAATAATCCTTAATATAGTTTAAAATAAATTATACATTTATAAAAATGTTATGTTTGGTATTATTTTCACAGCAAGTTATGCACTACTTGTCTGCAGATCCTATTACATACATACATACATAAAGTAAATAAATAAATAAAACGTGTAAAATATTGTAAAACGTTAAAATTAACAAGAACAAAAATATTAATATGCATTTAAAAATATTTAATATAGATTATTTACATTTTATTTAGATTATTAAATTTAAAAAATATATATATAAAAAAATTAAAATGTACACAAATAATTTCTACAAATTTTATAAATATTTATTTTTGCATTACCGGTCTGCAGATCCTCATAGTCTTTGATATCGCTGGCGGGACTCTGCTCAATGATCTGCTCCAGTTCTGAGTCCGTCAGGTACTGAACCTCATCGGCTTCGTCTCTCCTCAGACGTTCTGCTTTTATGGCATCCTGCAGGGTCAGGTAACTTTTGGGGATCTGTATAAAACACCAAAAAGAGACAAACACATGGGATAATTCACCTTAAAGAACCTTAAGATACTACTGCAGCATAGCCTCCTCACGCTCATGCTTTTTCCTCATTTTAAGCTGCTTTGGATTAAAAAAAAAAAACCTGCTTAATGTATAAATAAAAAAGCATACTGAAGATTTGAGGTGGAGCAACAGTATTTCACTTCAGTTTTTCCATCTTACCGAACAGGTGTCAGAAACAACTGTGATTCATGCCAAACATACAGTTTTAACTAACACTAACCAGTCTTCCCACTAGTTTGTGACAGCTAGCAGGGTTGCTGACGTCCTTCATGGAGCAAGCGACCTGAAACAACAGCCTCTTGAGTCCGTCCATGCCTTCCAGCGTCTTACATGACACCTCACTGCCAAACAACCACACATTCACACAAACACACACCAAAACAGATCGTCCATTGAGGAAAGTACACTGTAAAAAAATACTGTGGTTTTAATGGTAAAAGACTGTAAAAATGCTACAGTAAACAGTATCCTGTTAATATGGAATTGCCAAACCTGACAAAATTAGAAAAAAAATATATATATATATATAAAAATATATATATACAAAGAAATTTAAAAATGTAAAAATATATAAATAAATATGCAAAGTAAAAAACAAAAAAACACAATTAAATATTAAATTATTTATGCTTTTATTTCCTTATTTATGTATATTTTTATTTTTCCACATTTTATTTCTTTTTTCTTTTATTTATCTAGACATTTATTTATTTCCACTTATTTATTTCCACATTTATGTATTTAAGTATTTATTTCTATATTTATGCATTTCCACATTTATTTATTTCTTCATTTATTCATTTCTACATTTATTTATTTATACATTTCAGGCCTCAAAGCTTACAACTTGCCTACTCTGGCTCGATTACTATTCCTGTGGAAAAACACGCCCTCCTCATTACCCTACGGACAAAGAAATGTAGAAATAAATAAATGTAGAAATGAAAATAAATGTGGAAATAAATAAATATAGAAATAAATATGTAAATAAATACATAAATGTCTAAATAAAGAAAAGAAAAAAAGTAAATAAAACGTGGAAAAAAAAATATATATACATAAGGAGATAAAAGTATAAATAATTATTTAGTTTTTTTTTTTTTTTTTTTTATTTTTTTTCTTTGTATATTTACAAGGGTGACAAGATGGCACCGTTGTGTGTGGCACGCCGTCTGCTGCACTCTTTCTCGTTTTTAAATCTTGTGATTTTGTGTTTGTCATTACTAATTTCGGACTGTAATATGTCGCTCGTTTACGATCGCCAAACACTGTTAAATATCCACATGGCTATCGACTCCGCCAAGAGTGATGTTGATGTGTCTTGCCGATTTCCCCTACCTGCTCACTTACACCTCTCTGCTCACCTGCATTGGTATTCCGCCGATCTTCCCTGAAAGCGACGGTGTCGGAGGAAGCGCGCCAAGCGGGGTGGAATCGCTGCTCAGTTTAAGTCTCTTGCACGGTCTCCGCCGTAGTTTATTGGACCCGTGCTGGCCTACGAATGGCGCTTCGTCTGTGCCTTTACATGGTCTCTTCCCTCACATCGGTGGCTTCGACCTGTTGTTCCATGCTCTTCCTCTGTGCCTTCACCCGGCCTCTGCCCCCGCTTTCGATGCCGTGGATTGAATCTCCTTAACCTCCGACCGTTAAACCGGACAACACAGCCGGATGAAGCTACATCGCTGCTTAAAGTCAAGGTGGCCTTGATCAACGCACGGTCAGTGGTGAACAAGACATTCATAATAAATGACTTCTTCTCGACGCATGCCCTGGATATTTTATTCATCTCTGAAACCTGGATTAAGCCTGGTGAGTTAAGTTCTTTTACTGAACTGGTTCCACAGGACTGTCATTTTTTTAATTCACCTTGGCTATCAGGCCGTGGTGGGGGACTAGCGACAGCGTTTAAAAACTCTTATCCCTGCTGCTGAAGTGCAGTTGCTTCAGCCCACATTAAATAACTGTGGTAAAAAAGTGGTATTTGCCTTGGTTTACCACCCGCCTCAGCCAAACAAGGATTTTCTCAATGAGTTTGCTGAGTTTCTGGGGGATATTGTTACCAACTATGAGAGAATATTAATTTTAACATCCATGTATGCTGTGACTCTAAGCCACTCTCTAAAGAGTTTCTAAATCTTATTGATTCTTTGGATTTTGATCAGTGGGTGTCTGACCACACTCATATTCAGGGACATA